CTGTCCTGCCCCAGGGCTCATACTCTTTGTGACTTATTGTTTAACTTTACAAGCCCCTTGGCTTTTATGAGGGTTATTTATAAAGCTCTGGGCTTTGATCTACAGCATAAAAAAGCAAACTCCTATGTCTGAAAATGTCACAGGGATTAGGGGAGTCTTTGAAGTAACCTCCTGGCAGGCAGTGCCCGCCCAACCGCCCCTGCAAAAGGCCTCCAACCCTGGAAACCCCAGCCAGGGCACTGGGGCCTCAGTTGGGGCGGATGTGGCCCCTGTCCAGGTGAGTGACATGTGTGGGTCTCCTCCCCCTGGAACACCCTCCCAGCCCCAGGCACCAACCAGGCCACCTTGGTCTCCAGATATTGGCCACATCTGTCTGTCTCTCACGTTTATGGACAGCCAGAGGCTGCTGTCTTGTGACTGTGAGCCCAGCAGTAGCAACTGCAGGGGTTTTAAAGAGTGGATTATTCTCTCTGTCTTATTGGTGGGGAGGGGGCCAGGGTGTGTAAGAAGAGAGAAGGAACAGTTCTCAGCGAGGCAGGGCCGGGCTTCTGGAGACTGCTCCTTTCCTCCCAGTTCTGAGGCCCAACAGTCCACCCTGCGGCTGTGCATGGGAGCTCATTTGCTTTTCTCCCTAAGTCAGTCTGGCTCTACCTGGGGGCTTAGGCCAACTTGTAGGTGTGGTGGGGAGATAGAACCCAGGAGATGATCCTGTAAAGCAGTCTTCCCTGCCCCTCCATGCCCCGGTGGTGGGAGGCCGGGGGAGCCAGGATGCCTTGTCCAGCACACACACATTCCCTGTGGCCTGGCACCTTCTCTCTTGCTCTCTGAACCTTTCGGAACCTCCAGGCTTTTCCATGGCTCAGTACAGGGAAGAGCTCCGGTCCCAGCTTGCCTCCCCTGAGCTGTGTAATCTCAGGCAAACCCTTTCCTTCTTTGAACTGCTCTTACCTGGTTTCCAAAATGGGGCACCTCATACCACGCAGGGTGCCTGGGGATTAAACCAGGTCATTCTCAGGAGCACACATGCTGCTTGTCAGCCCTCAGAGGAGCCAGGGGTCTCCCACTCTACAAGGCCCAACTTCCTTTCTCAGGACGGAAGCCCAGGAGGAGGTGGAGCTGGGCTCCAGAGGGAGGGAGATCTGAGGGCTCATGAACACGATCTGGACTGGGACTGTGCTGGTGTTGGCAGCTCATCAAACTACTACTTAAAATGAGTGACTTTGTGTGTAAACGACACTTTGTTGGCTAAAAGTATAAAAGTGAAAAGAAAACACATGCAAATGGAAAACAGTCAGAGCTGGCCTGGTGGTTTCTTCCTGTACCCATAGCCACTTGGGAGGCTGAGGCAGGAGCATCACAAGTTCAAGCCCACCTCGGGCAACTCAGCAACCTAAGGAGCCCCATCTCAAAATAAAAAAAGGTTGGGGATGTGGCTCAGCGGGGAGGTCCTAGGTTCAATTCCTAATACTGCAGAAAAGAAAGCAAAAGAAAAGACAAGAAAAGCAGTTGATCATTATAAGATTAAAAGGACACAAAACTCTCTGCTACCTTCATTTCTGCGACCCAGCAACAAGGCGCTTGTTCATTCAGTCAGTGAGTCACTCACACAATGTTTAGTGAGAGTCTGCTATGTGCTACATATAACGGTTCGCCACTTCTTGCAATCATGCGTGTGCAGTGCCATTCATTTTCTGGACATATGATCGAGAACATGCACAATGCGGTCGGCCCACTTTTCCCAGGGCCTGCAGCCTGGAGAGTTCTCTTCAAGCAGGTTCACATCTCTCTTGTGCCTCCCAAAGGCTGTCTAGGTGTCCCTGGCTGCATGCGACAAATCTATTAAACTCATCCTCCCGGGCGGATGCCCTGCACTTTTCTTCAGTTATGCGCAGCACTGCGGTGCAAATCTGAATTTGTGCACATGATAAATTCCTGGGGGCTGAAGAGTCTGCAAATGTCCAAATTAGATAGAGTTCAAAATTTAAATCTATCAAGTCAGCCCTCTGCTTGCCATTTTAGGCATATTCCCAGTTTTCTCAGAAAATGGAACCAAATTGGGTGCTCAGTGGTGCAATCGGTTACCATTTGATATGCAGAATAGAGACCCAAATCCCAATGCCACGGAATCCTGCCTCAGCCAGCTCCTCTGGCTTTGTCTCACTCTGCTTTTCAGCCACACTGATCTCTCCTACCTCAGGGCCTTTGCATCACTGTGGCAAGTCTGCCTCTGTACCTTTGCTGAGGGTGATGCTGATTTCAGCCCTACAGGAACAACTGGTTACATTTGCAGGGACTGCAGGGAGTGGGGGTTAAACTAGGCACCCTGACACAAGCCGGTTCAACCCACTTCTGCTTGAGACCCACTAGAATTACATCTGACCGCACAGGGGAAGGGTTAGATTACCAGATGCCAGCTGCAGGGCCAGGGTCCCCAGGCCACTTGCATGTGACTGATTGGCTACAAATTTGAGGATTTCCGTAATGCCCCTCATGGTTGATGTTTGGCTGGGATGGTTCACAGGGCTCAGGAAAAAGCTGTCCTTTTGCTTCCAGTTTTATTGTAAAGGGTCAAACCAGGAAAGCCAAAAGGAGAGACCCACAGGGTGAGGCTGGAGGGTCCCCAAATCAGAGCTGTGTGTCCTCTCCCTGTGGAAACGGGCTGGGCACCCTCCCTGCACAGCAGGAAGCTCCCCTGAACCTTAGTGCTCTACGTTCAGACCGGAGTCGCCTTATGTAGCTGTGATTGAACCACTGGCCGTGTGCCCGAGCCCTGTGTCCAAGCTTCGCTCCTGCCTGGAGTTCAGGGACTCAAAGCCCAAGCTCCTAGCCACCTGTCTTTCCCATAGCCAGCTCCCCTCCAAGTCATGTCACCTCTTAGCCTAAACTTGGTTGTGGTCAAGGGACCCCAGAATAACAGACATTAACCATTGCTCTGGAAATCCAAAGGATGCAGTCTCCTCCCAGGAGCCCGGTACAAAAGCCAGTCAAATTCTTTACCAGCGCTGGGGCTGTGCTCAGTGGTAGAGTATTGGGCTAGTGTAAATGGGACCCTGGGTTCAGTTCAGTCTCGAGCAACTTGCACGCACACAGGCACACACACACACACACACTTTATATAACACAACTGATTATTGAAATTTAAGTCATATGTTTATAGCTAAATAAAACAGTACATAAATAATTCCCCATTTCTTAGTGCTTTACTATATTTTGCTCTTATCCACATTCTTGAGGTTATCTATATCTATTATATCTAAGTGCCAGAGATAATGTCCAATGGTATCTACCCACCTCCCAACATCATGCTAGTAGTTTGAAATCAGAGTATTTACAGCATAGCAATTGGCAAGGGCTATAAATCAGGGCCTAATTTGTTCTTTGTGGATTGCCTAATCTCAGGAAGATGATAGAGAAAATGTTAGTAACACAGGCGAGACTTGCAAGTGTGCTGTATCTCTAGTTGTTGCATAGAACAACAAGAACAACAAAATCAAGGCAATATTTTTCCAGTGCTCAAAACTTGTGCAATTCAGCATTGTGGACGCGTGTGTGAAGCTCTGATTTGCATTTTCATTGTTTCATTTTCAACTTCCTTTTAGCAGGTAAATGAAAATATCAGCCAATATTCCTGCCTGCACTATTCCTTGCCCATCCATTTCAACCACCAGTTGGCTACTGGTACCAGGGTTGGGCAAAAATCAATGAAAGTATTTTCTGAGATGCAGTGCACTTTACAGAGTTAATGAGAAGACTATTGCCTACTTTACTAACATTTAAAATTGGGTGCTATGCACCCTTTATGTCAATACAGCTTGGGATAAATTTATGCATATAATGGATATACTTTTCCCCCTGGACAGCAGGGCCTGGGCCGTTGTGATAGGCAGTTTGGATGGGACACAAAGGACAGGGTCCCTGAAGAGCTAACACTGGAGGTGAGACCCTCATGATGCAGGAGCCTGAATGCCAGGCTCAGAGAGGGAGACAGACGGCTCCAAGTCACACAGCTAGGCAGTTGCAGAGCTGTGAATCAGAGGGGTGTGGAGCAGCCTGCCCTTTCATCCTGTATCTTCTCCCCTCTGCCCCCTAAGACCTGGTCTGCTCGTGTCTGGGGCTAACCTGGGCTTGTCTGAGGATGAGGCTAACCCAGCCCAGCCCTGGACTCCTACAGGCAGAGCCATTTGCCGGGTCTCTGAGTGCCAGTTCGTGGGGCATGGGCCTGATTAGTCCGTGCGGCATGGCAGTTTTCGGGGGATTAATCAGGTTGGAGCCAGTGGGGGGAGGGAGGCTGGGGAACGGAAGGAATCAGAGGACCTTGCGGTTACTCCTGACCTATGGCCACAGCCAGCCCAGGTAGATGATCTGGGAGATGCCAGTGGCAAGGGGACACTCAGGGCTCCAAGGAAGTCTTTGGACCTTTCCTTAGAAAGACAGTGCTCAGAAAAGGAGCACAGGCCTGAGGTCCCCACAGAGGGGCCCTGGCTCCTACACCTGGGTGTCACAGGTTAGACAGGGGCAGGAGATGGGGCCAGGTGGAGTAGGAGGGGACACCTGTCCACATCCCAGAATGCTCTCTAGCTCTGAGTGTGCCTTCCGTATGCCTCTCTGGGCCTCAATTTCCCCATCCCTAGAATGAAGATGTGACAGCGTTTCCATCCCAGACCTCAGGGACAATGCAAGGAGGCCATGGGCATGGCCACAGGGACACTCGTGTGTTCTTCCGTATCCCTCAGGCCCTTTATCTGCTGGCACTAGCCCAGACCCTAGGGACCGGCCTCACCACTTCCCTCCCTGGGCAAAGGGGAAACCCATGTGGGGACGCAGTGACTACTGTGGGTGGCAGGGGATCTAAGGACTGGGCCTGGAGTTTGGGATGGGGCGGCACGGGGCAGGAGGCCAAGCCAGCCCTCAGAGCAGTGATCTTGGCTTTGTGGGTCATGGAGCCCCTGGGCCTTCGATAGAGCTGTGGACCTTCTGTCCAGCACACTGCATCGGCACACAGGGTTTTGTATGTCACTTCGGGGTTCATGGACTGGAAACCTACCAGTGGACCCCTACTGGAGAAGCGCCGGGTATTGTTCTTCAGGGTGCTGGATCCTTCCACGAGGAGAAAAGGGAGGGAGGGAGGGAGGGAAGCTGTTCCCGAGGCTGCTGGAGTCTTATTTACTGCCACTGTCAGGACCTGCATCCCCCATCCTCCGCCTTGGCCAGGCTTGGTCCCTGGATCGGGTCAAACCAGATTACTCTTTCCCCAGATCTGCCACACACCAATGGTACCCTTAGCAGGCGCTAGGTTTGATATAACAATCACAAATGTGAGGGCACAGTGTCTGTCTGACAAGTGCGAGGTCCTGAGTGTGATCTCCAGTACCAAAGAAGAAAAGAATCACAATGTTGGCCTCGCACGCACGAAGCCCTGCGCTCTGTCCCGAGCACCCCCCCCATCGTATGTGGAATGCAAAACGGAGAATCAGGTTATCATGTACCTTAACTTGGGCTTTCTGATATAATTTGTCTCCTCACACACTGCCAAGAAGAAAAACACATTTGTAGTTTTTTAAAAAGGTGTCTTTTAAGTAATTTTAAAGGCGATATGGTGACCTTGTAATATTATGAAAGGCACAGAGAGGTAGTCAGAGAACAGAGCCTTTTGGGGTTCATACTCCTCACCCCTATCCAATACCATAGGCCTCTCCTCCAGCTCACTACTTTTTTTTTTTTTTTTTTTTTA